ATATATAGGGAGAAGTGTTCCTAAGGTGACGCCTTAGATAATCATCTAAGGACGCGGTCTAAAATCACATGATTGAGCTATATTGTGGATGATCCGCTCCGTTGAACATGATCTACATGTTCTAAAACCTCAACACACCAAGTTTGGGGTGCACCCGTCGTCGTTTGACTCTTCATCCACTCGTATCAATTTTAACGGTTTCGAATGAATAGAACTTTTCGCATGGCTCGACGGAGGGTCAATTGATGATGGGTTCACCCCAAACTTGGTGTGTTGGGTTTTATAATATGTAGATTAAGTTCAACGGAACAGATCATCCACAATATAGCTCAATCATGTGATTTTAGGCCGCGTCCTTAGATTATTATCTAAGGCGTCACCTTAGGAACACTTTTCCCATATATATATATATATATATATATATATATATATATATATATATATAAGGGTTTTATAATATGTAGATCAAGTTCAACGGAACAGATCATCCACAATATAGCTCAATCATGTGATTTTAGGCCGCGTCCTTAGATTATTATCTAAGGCGTCACCTTAGGAACACTTTTCCCATATATATATATATATATATATAGGACTTCACTCTTATGCTTCATGGTGTACACCCAACATCGCCTAGAATAGTCATCAACGAACGTGACGAACCAATGTCGACCACCAAGTGATGCCGTCTTAGTGGGACCCCAAACATCTGTGTGCACGTAGTCCAAGATGCCCCTCGTCCTATGAATGGCCGTCCCGAACTTCACCTTCGTCTTCTTGCCAAGTACACAGTGCTCACAGAATTCTACTTTACCACTCTTGGCTCCCTTCAAAAGCCCCTGCTTGCACAATGCCTGCAGTGACTTTTCACCTGTATGCCCTAGCCTGTAGTGCCAAAGTCTGCTCATGTCCGCCTCTGAAATCGCCGAAGCAACCTGGCCAATCTCGGTGCTCCCCTTCAGATAATATAAATTATGATTTCGGACTCCCTTCATCACCACCAAAGATCCCTTAGTAACCTTTGCTACAGCATCCTCAAAGGTCACCCTGAATCCCTTCGCCTCCAAAGCCCCCACTGAGATAAGATTCTTCTTAAGTTGAGGAACGAATCTCACCTCCTTCAGCTCACGGACTACTCCATCGTGCATCCGAATCCTCACAGTACCTATCCCACGAACGCCACAGGATTGATCATTTCCCATGACCACAACACCCCCATCGAGTCTCTCAAATGATGAGAACCAATCTCGCCTAGGAGTCACATGATAAGTAGCGCCAGAATCAAGCATCCACTCCGATGCATCCAAATGGTTCACCTCCGGAGTAATCAAAAGAGAAAAGCTCGAATCATCGGAATCATCGCCTTTCGCAACATTCACCTCATTGGCCTTCGGGCCCTTATTCTTGCTATTCTCATTTTCTTTGACTTTCGGTCAGTCTCTCTTCCAATGTCCCTGCTCTTTGCAGAATGCACATTGATTCTTTCCAAGCTGGTGACGACCTCTTGACTTTGACCTCCCTCTGTTTCCACCTTTCTGATATGAGCTTCTACCTCTCGCCGACAAGGCCTCTCCTGAAGTACTAGCGCGGGAAGTCTCCTTATCCTTCCTCCTCAAATCATAGTTCGTCAATGCGTTAGTCACTTCACTATAAGTGATAGAAGATCTCCCGTTCAGCAACGTAAGCACGAAGGTATCATACTCCTCATCCGGTAAGGAGCCCAAAAGAATAATAGCCTTGTACTCATCTGTGATCTTCTCATCCACGTTCGCCAAGTCCGACAACAACTTAGTGTAGTTGTTCACATGAACCGCTAGCGAGGTGCCTCTGGACATCTGAAATCTGAAGAGTCTTCGCAGCAAGTGCAACCTGTTCTCAACACTCTTCGTGAGATACTTGTTGTTGAGAATCTCCCACATCTTCATTGCAGACGTCACCCCAATCACATCATATTTCAGTTCCTGTTCCAAACAGGACCTGATCACCCCACAAGCGTTCCTATTCATCTTTTTTTCATACCGCCTTTTCATATTTAGGTGGCCTCACATCGACCATGATGGTCTCCTCCAAATTTTGAGCATTGAGCGCATCCTGTACGTCGCTCATCCACAAACCAAAATTGATTTTGTCGTCATATTTCACTACACTAATCTTAGTGTTCTGAAAACCCACTTGAACTGTACCCGTCAACTTGCTGCTTTCACCAACTTCTTCACCCATAATCACAAACTCCAAATTGTAAAGAAAGATTCAAACTTTATAGAATTTAGAAGTTACCCAACTGAACCCTAGATTGGATTCCAATAGAACTCCTAACCACACGAGGAAAGCGAGATCTTCAACGACAACTTCAAACCCTAACTCCACCAAATCCTAGAACTTCAAGAACCAAGCTTCCAACTGAATCTTCCTCCACCTAATCAAAAACCCTAGATCTGAAATCTGATCTCTGATACCAATTGTTACGCGCCGTGCGGAAGCGTGCTTGACAACCAAACGAGTCGGTGAGTGATGAGAGAAGAAAACCAAACCAAATCACGAGTGCAATTCACCAAAATACGACACAAATCAAACCAAACACAAGGATTTACGTGGTTCGGCAATTGCCTACATCCACGGGGAGAGGATGGAGATATTTCACTATATGGAGGAGAAATATAACGGGTTATAACTCACAAAATCACTCAAATATAACCCTAACCAAAGCTCTCAACTCCCTCACAATATCTCCCTCTCAAAGTGTTCAAAACAATGCTAATTCTCTCTTTTTCTCTCCTTTTGAAACCCTAAAAACGTGGTCCTATTTATAATAAAACACAATCTTAAACAAAGGAGGATTCCCAAACAAAAGAGGATTCTAAAAACGAGTCTGCCACACCAGGGTGTGGCGCAGACCACACCCATGACAGACAGGGCAGATTCTTCCATACCAGGGTGTGGTGCAGACCACACCTATGGCAGACATGGCAGATTCTGTCACACCCATGACAGACATCACACCGGGGTATGGTAAAGTCTATTTTTAATTTTTCTTCACGTTTTTTATAATTTCTTCGCCGTTTTCACATTGGATTGGTCGTCAAGCTTCAGGACAATAAAACTAGCTTTTCATGATATGCATGCGACTGGTACAATAACACCATTTCCATTCATTTTTCTGAAAATCCAGCATCTAAATGTTTTATATGTTGTGAATCTTAGCTGTTTAGACAATAACGAAAATCAGTTTAAACAATTTGATAATTAACAGATAATTACTATTATAACGCAGATATAAGAAATATATCAAATGAAAAGTAAATAGAGGTTAGAAATACGGCCTGATGGTCGAGGCGTGCAAGCACTGTCCCAAGAAACTAATTGCCCCCTCTCGTACAGGGCTACGCGGCAAAAGCTCCCGGAGATACAACGACCCTCGGTCAGGCGACCTCCTTCTCGTCGGCACGAGCTTCAAGAAAGCTTTGTGAATTCTTCGTGACTTTCAGGGAACCAGCAGAATACAGTAACAAGTATAGAGTAGAGAAGAAGAGGTTTTGTGCTTTTTCACACTGTGTAAAACTATTCGGGTTTTGGTCCTTTTATAGGGTTAAACAGCCGTTATACATAAACCCGCAGTTAATATGTTTTTAATCACGTTAATAAAACTTAGCCGTTATAAAACCAAAACATTTCCGTTACATAATAAATTCACAAAATATTTATCACGTTTTTAATCACACTAATAAATTTTTACCGTTACAAAATATTTCTGTTACAAAATAAATCACGTTTTTAAATCATGTTATAAATGTTAATCATGGTTTTTTATTAGCAAAAATAAAAATAAAAATGTAGCAGATTAAGGGCCCATTAATCCGGAGCTGCATTCGTGTCCGCAGGTCGTGTGCGCGCGCCACCCGACCCGACCCGAACCCGAGCCCGGCCCGGCCGGCGCGCGTGTGTGTGGTGTGGAGCATAACTTTTGTTTTCTTCTAGGCATAGGAGAGAAAGGGAAGGCTTATAAAGAGCCTCTCTTCCCATCTCTTTTTCAATGTGGGACTAAAGTTTTCCTCTTTTCCTCTACAAACCCAAGTTTTAAGTTACAATTCCAACAATCC